TATTTGTTCATCACGTGGGATACGGGAACGCTGCCGGCTTTCTAATGAGTCGAAACATAATGATTCCACCATCTCCAACATCTCCAAAACAAAAAGGTCATTCTGAAAAACCAATCAATCCAATCACTGGTCAGTACTTAGATGATGAAGCACCTTCACTTTCTGATATGACAGATGAAGAAAAAGAGAGGGAAGCAGAAAGGTTGTTTGTTTTATTTGAAAGACTCAAAAAAACGGGTGTTATGAATGTTGTTAATCCCGTGGAGGAAGCTGCAAAGTCCGGAAAACTTAATGAGGTTCCAGACAATGAAGAAAGCGATTAACTAAAATAGCTTTTTTGAATTTTGTTCGTTTATATTTATTTATTTATTCTTGTTTGATTGTATATATATACTTTGTAGAACTGTTATTTAAAATTTTCAGATAATCGAATTAAGTTAAATTTTTATTTTATATACTAAGTATTCATCACCTGAAAAAGTTATATAAATGCAGTTGCAATAATTTTTGGCGATTTAAATAAACCTCTCGTCTTGCTGTCCAAGTAGAGTGGAGAATTTATAGAATGATTTAACGACCAAAAAAATGATATTGATTCTGCTCAAATGATGACAATCACCAGATAAAAACATAATTTTGTATTGTGCTAAGTAAACAAGAATATACTGCTAATCTTTGTTGCATCCATGTTCCCAGTCAAATAGAATTCTTGCTTCCTTCAAAAGAAACATAGAGTCAGATTTTACAATATGACATAAGAATTCTATACATCCGTTCTTTTCATTTTTTTAAGCTTACTCAGCACTTCAGCTTCTTTAAAGCCAGATCGAGTATTTTTAATGTGTGCCGGGCCTCCGATCAAACTTTAGATAATTCGATATTACAGACGCTTTTTATTTACTTTTTGTACAGTACCGGACAGCGAGAAATATCCACTTTTTATATATAAATATAAAATGCTTATAACTTATAAACAAATGAATTTAAAAAAATTCTGTCTTACAGATTTGTTGCTTTTAGTCTAAGCTACAATTCTGTTAGAATAGATTTTTATTTTTATTATAAATTTAAAAAGTTATTAGAGTCTAAAGTTTTTTATATATTTTTAACCAATCAGAATCTTGTTACACAAAAATAGCCAATCAGATTTGAGTATAAATCTCAAAATTTAGCGCTTTTAAAAAAGATTGTATTCTGAAAAATTTTTATTTAGAGGACGGAAGCAGGTTGTCATAGTAAAATTGTGTTAGCTACGATACATGTCATAAAGTATACGAGTTTTTCGAGTCCTATTCATTTACATGACTATAGTACATAATATCGTAATGCACTGACCAAAGTACACCCATTTTTCAGTACCCCAGTTAAAATACCCGGGTATTTTACATGACATTGTTTTTTTAACCAAAGATAATACCTGGGTATTTTGCATGGTATTTTTCACACCATCACATATTGATTTCTGTATTACATATATATAAGTGCGTAAGGGTGAAAACATTTAATGATTTACTATGATTGGTTACAGGTTTTCTCTCTCACGCACTCATGTCCATACAATCCAGTCGATAACTGTGTTCTCATCTATAATATAGGAATTGGAACAGCCTGAAATTTTCTAATCGATTAACCGTTTAACCATGCTAATTGCTGGCATTAAGTTTGGCTCATTACCAATGTAATTCATGCTGGAATTATAAAACAAATCTTTACGCAGTTAAACAGTTCCAATTCTTACTATAATATGTATTTGTTTTGTTATTCATGAACATAAAACAATATTTGAGAACAATTATAACTATTATACTGTTCTCATGAGAACAGTACTTGTGCCTTAAATTTCGAACACTGGATGTAAGATATAATATACGTAATGTTGACTTTGAGTATAAATAAGTTTATTAAAAAAATCAAAAATGAATCCTTTTTAATAATTTTAATAAAACATACATAAATAAATCGTACGAAAATTAAAAATAAATTCTTTTCAATAAAAGTTGCAAATCAAATTAGAAAGTGCAATATATGTCTTTAATTGAAACAAACTCTGATGCTTCTACACTGTTAGAATCTGAACAATCAGAAACCAACTGTGATCTTTCACGAAAAAAAAATTAGAAGAGTTGGTCCTGTCTTCGATGAAGTATGGAGGTCCCATCTTGCACTATATTGTCAGAATGTACCTGAAGATATTCGATATTGGACCAATAAACTTGCGGAAGAAAATAATTCTCATAAGAGATTCTCAATTACAAGTTACTTTACCACCGTAAGTCAATATTAATTATGATAGATTTATTTTAAAAACTTGGGTGACCCATTTGAAGTAATTGAGCGTTATATTAGAAATCACTTTAAAAATCTTAATCCTGCATATGTATTGCCATCTCGTATAACATTATCTGGACGATTGTTAGATGAAATTGCATGTGTGCAAAATAGCATTGATAATACACTCGATGGGTGGGCTTCAAAACGTCGTATAATTATATTGTAACAACTATAGAATGAAAAGAGTATCTTATTATATTACATACTATTTAGCAGAATCACACACTGGTGATTTCATAGCTTCAGAAATTTTGAATATTATTGATCAAATCGAGCCTAAAAACTTTGTAGCTATCGTCACAGACTTAACAGCAAATCTTCAATTTGCCAAAGGAAAAGTACATAGAAAATATCCACACGTACTAAATCTTAGATGTATCGCTCACGCTATTAATTTAATAGCAACGGATCTGACAAAGCTTCATGAAATAAAATTATTATTGACCAATGTGGAAAAGTTATAGCGCATTATAACAAATTTCATCAAAGAGTGGCTTTATTAAAAAATTATGAAAGTAAGATCCGAAGGCTTAGAAGCATGGTGTAAAACACGTCGGGGATCTCTATACAACACCACAAATTCGATATTACTTGTCAGCCTGTATTCGATTGGATAACCTTTTTTTTATTATTTTAATATATCTATACGTACAATTAAATATACTAATACGCAGTGATAATTTTTTAGTTAAAATTTACTGTGTGGATACCGCACAATTTGGCGTGTGGCAAATAAAGAAAAACTATGATCAACTATTTACAAGTATGCGTAAAAAAATGTTAATTTTTCTGTGCTGCATCCGCACATTCGTTCAAAAGAAAATGTGCGCAAAATTTTGTTTCTGGGTGCTGCGCACAGTCCGCACAACGAAAAACAATATTATGTAAACATCCAAATATAATTACAAATATAGAAATTTTTAATCTGCTAAATAATGAAAATTTTTTCTCTACGTGCCGATCAATGTGGAGATGGTGGAATCATTATGTTTCGACTCATTAGAAAGCCGGCAGCGTTCCCGTATCCCACGTGATGAACAAATA